CGTTCTCTTTGTTCACGGAAGCCTTGCAGTCCCGCTTCTGGCGGTAGAAAATGAGGGAGTCTGGCCTTGGTTGCCGCCTGCCGCTGCCCCGGCGGGCGGGTCCGGGGGTCCTGGGCGATGCAGGGGGACCCAGCTCATTGCACACGTGCGGGGTGAGTGGCCCCGGGGTCCCGCGAAGAGCAGGTTCCTGGCGCCGCACTATTACCTGGTGCGTCTTGACATACTTAGCTTTGTCGGCCTCCAGCCTCTCCACTGCGCTGGGGGTCCGTCCCCTGGATGGGGTGGAGGGAGAGGCCAGGAGCATCTTAGCAGAGCAGGGAAAAGCAGTGCCCCTTTACCGCTGGAGGTGCACAGTTAAGGAGTAGTCTAGAGCAATTGGCTGAGACTCCCTGAGATCTGCAAAGAGAGAGGAATGGTCCGGAGATGTCCCCGCCCCTCTCTGACAGGCATTTCTGGATATAGTATCATCTAGTCAGCCAGCCCCCATCCATGCCACCCAGGTCCATGTCCAGGGAGGGAGGCTCAGGCCATGCCCTCCCTATTCTTGAGAGGCACTGGGTGGGGACTTTCTGGCTCCTAAGAAACATATACCCCTTTGTGGGTGCCCCAGTTTAGTCATAGGGCCATGCAAGGAGGTGTTCACAAGGACACTTGGAAAAGGAAGTGGGGCTGGTCCCAGCCCAATTCCCAAAAGTAGCCTTAACCGGAAAAAATACCTCTTCCCAACCCAGCAGCTTTAAGCCCAAGACTGTGAGGCTCCCAGCCACAGGCTGGTCCAGCAGGGCCCACCCTTCCTGCCCCAAGCAAGAGGTCAGGGCTATAACCACAGGGTAGGAGCCTCCAGTAATTGTAGACAACTATACTGCCCAGGCCTAGCAGGGTCATCCAGGAAGGAGCGGGAAGGAGTAACTGGTCTGCCAGTTACTGCCAGCTACTCTGTGCCCCAGCCAAGGAGATTCCAGAAGAGCAAACTGTAAACATCACCTTGTCCAATCCCTGCATCTTCCATGTCATAGGCTAGAAAGTGGCCTACAGAGAAAAGGACTTGCTGGGGCCCTGATGAGAATTAGGGATCTGGACTGGAACCCAGGTCTTTTCAGAACTATCTCAGAATGGATCCCTCACTCAACTATGGGGACTTCCCTCTGGTATTTTGCTTCTGTTTCTGCTACTGTAAAGCCAAGTAATTATTCTTAGAGAGATGAGCCCCTAGTACCTCTCACAGATTGTCCCAGTAACCCGCAAACCCAGAAATCTGCCCTCAGGCTCCCTTCTCCCTTCTCTTCCTGAGACCTCTGACCTTCTTCTATTCTACCTCCCTGGTGTTGGGGAAAGGGGCAAGGAGGGGCTGTAAATCAAGAGCTGACAGTTTCCTTGGCAGTTAAAAGAATGGGCCACCCACGAGGCTTAGCACATCCCACCCCACCCTTGTCCACCTACACCCCCATTAAGGTCACATTAGTGCTAAGGTCAGAAGGAAACTTGGATCTGGATGCTACAAAGGAGTAGGTTAGCCAGAGATGAGGGGGGAGATACGTTACGTGTGTCCCCTCACCCAGACATTGGGGAAGACACCCTGCCAATCCCCACCCCTATCCTGTTCTGATTTTCTCAACCCCCAGCACCCTCTCCCATCTAGTTCTTACTCTGCTCAGAGACTGTTGGTGACTGGAGCCCAGACAGCACTGCCACCCTGGCAGTGTCCCCCTTCTATTTTCCCAGGGACTGTGCTAGGCTGTGGGTCAGCTTCCAAGATCCCAGGAGGGAACTGTGCTTGTCTGACC